ACTGGTTATATTCATCATATACGAATAATAATATTGTATTATTATATTACAATAATATATTCCAGTGCTAATATGATATTATTGATATACTCATCAATGCTAGTGTCAAACAGTAAAACTGAAGTACAACACAGACTTGTCTTCATGCCTTCAAGTCTCCACTCAACTGGTGAGGACAAGACGAACTGAGCTCGTGTTGTGCGCCAGTTTTAGAGGCACTCCTTAACAGCCCACAACAGAATCGTATTTCTCCGGGCAAAAGTTGTTAAAAAGCAACGCGTTAACTGTTGCCTTGACGACAGTATAATTAATGAAGTTATCTGGTTGTCTCTATTGGCATGCTTGCCGCAGGAAAAGCTGGAAGCAGGGAAGCGCATCAACCCAGCCTGCCTGGTCGGTACCCATTTTAGCATTAACTCTCAGCGAGGCAATAAGTTACTCAAATACAACTTACATGTCTTTGAGAATGCCTTCAGATAGACTGTGCTTTGGGCAATTATGTAGCAACATCTTTCTTGCCATTTCCATCGCAACATTCTGCAGCATCGGAGCCTAATTCTTGTAGATATCGACACGGATGCAATTGCAGTTGCGCATGCAATATTGAAATATGACTTGCGGACAAGAAGACGAAGCTGGTGTGGCCTCCGAATTGCTCGCTTTCACTTTCGCCGTCCACGAAGTGTTTTCGCCGCGTTTTCGCAAGTCGGCCTGGGCGGAATGCGTCTTGCCCGAAGTTCTCTGCCACGGCAGTCGCGAGAAGTTGCTGCATCCGAGCGTGGATTCGCTAACTTCCCGTACCTGCCAGCAACATGTGCGTTGGGAGCGTTGTCGGGGGACCTGAAGTGACCCACATTTGAGTCATACTAATATCCACACTTTGCCGGCTTTCTTACCACTCACGCACAACATGTCAAGGCGACAAGTGAGTGCCTCTCTTGAGCGAAGGACGTACCGATCCTGCTTTCGTCCGGGCAGATTGCCGATTTGATGGGCTGTGGCTCGGTGCTAAGACGGACAGGACTCACGGACGAGGCCGATTACGATGCCGGCGAAACGTCCGGAAATCTACCAAGTCCACGCTCCAATATTGGAAATTCTCGGGGCTATTAGGCCAAAGGGCTCCAAACGAGATGCGTACGTCGAGGTTGCCCTGACAACACGACCAAACTGTGAAAACGAGGTCAAACCACTTAAAATATTGCTATTATATATTGCCAAAATTAGACAAAGAAATATGTTGGGAATGGGTATTCCGAGCCAGAGGTTTTAGAAGAAATGTCAAGAAGACATGGCTACCCAGTTAACAGTGATTAAAACCTACTAAATACATAATATATTTTTATTTTCTTTTTCTTCTTCAAGTAGGTTTTTCTAGATCACCAGTAGATCACTTTTATATGAAGTGTATTTACCCTATTTGACTTAAGATGATAAGTTTAAAGGTAGTCGAATTCTTTACTTTTAACTAAGATGGAACTTATCTGCTATATGCCAAGTTATTTTTATTTATTTTTAAGCTTAAAATCAAATTGAACTTTTTGTCTGGTGAGAAGTGGGTTGATGACACGGCGAGGTGGGGAGGAGTCAAGGATAGCTCGAATTCGCAACAAAATCTAGCCAAACATCATTTTGGACGAGATGAGGTACAAAAAATCAGGTCAACAGCCTGCACTGATTGTCTTCATTTGTTTCGAAACCCCACGAAAGTCACTTTGGGCCTAAGCTTGCCGACTGAATAGTTGTTGGTGCTTCCGTCGACCGGAAGAGCTTAAGGCAAGCAAAAAATGGACAGAAGTTGTTTGACCTTGTTTTCGCAATTTGGTCATATTGGTAGGAAGACTAATAGGAACGCACCTTGTCCGGAATCCATTGTATGCATTATCATTTCCAAAGTCGGATCGTGGATGTTACATTTCCAGACGATCTTCATATCTTCGATTAAAAAATGGGCAGGTCTACTGCCCGAACGAATGAGAACACAATCCGGAAATTGGTCGAATACCTCGACGGGGGTATCTACAAAGAGTTTTCTAACAATGGTGTCGAGTTCCCTCGAAAATGGCCATTAACTCAATTGAGTTTGGTATTAAAAGCAGATCATCGAAGATCGATTTCACTGGCATGTGCAGAGAGTTCCTCATTCCTTATGCGCATGTGCTTGTTTGTCTATGTGGTGGTAGAAGAAAACCTTCTTCACATAAAGATATTTAGGTTAATTTTCACACAGGCCAATGGGCTCAGGTGCTTATTGCCTTCTTCCTACTTGTGCAGACGTGTAAAATTCATGTCTTTATGTGTATTCTTGTGTGTTTGTGTTTTTGTGTGTGTATATGCTTGTGTGTATCCGACACCCTATGAGTCCATATGCATATAACTTTATGTGCATATGAAATGAGGCTATGAAGGGCAATCGGACAAGAATTTGCATTCACAAGGCTTTGCTGACAAATAGTACAAGCCCGAGGTGAGTGGCGATTAGGAGCGGACAGTGGCATGTGACGTCTGCGTCGTCATGTGAGGAGATGGGGATGAATGGAGTCTGAGGTTTGCAGCAAAGATTTCTGGGAGAGGGGCAAATAGGAAGAGGTACAGTCACTGTTTCCCTTGGCCTTTCCCAATGAGTCGAGTTGTCTGCAGCCTTGGCGACAGCGAAGCAGAACAGGTCAACCGGCCACGATGAGAGCCATCATGTCTCCACGATTGTCACTGCCCCTCTCGTTGTTCGGCCGATGTGGAGGAGTGAATCGAGGCGACATTGTCACCGAGTCGCCAGGACCAATTGACAAATCCACTTGCAAACTCATCTGCCTGGATTGAGCACACAAAACGTCTGTTGAGTTTACTTCAGTTTCCAGTGAAAGTGTTTGGTGACAGACGACGATGCCGGAAACCTCTTGACCGCCAGTCGATTGGTTCTGTTGGAACATTCTTGCTGACGCTGTCTCAGAGGCTAAATTTTTTTTTCCTTATGTCACAGACAACATCAGATCAAGGTGCCATTTTTACAAATATAATCAAGATAAAGAGTTATTCCTAAATACTGTATACCTTTCCTACTTTCCTTCTCATAAAGAGTTGGTTCAAGTCGCCTTTTCAGACTACATGAAGCTCAAGACAACAAGACTGGAGGCATTTGAAGAAGCGACAAATAGTAGGCCTGCAAGCCTCCTCCTCTTTCAGCCTGGGGAGGGGAGAAGGAGCAATTGGTGTAAATACGAAGAAGATGCGGGTTTCTATGACGCTTCTGAATTAAGATTGATGTGAAGACTTTCCTTTCGTATGGAAGTAGATGATGAAGAGATGTGTAGGCCAATCTCACCAAAAGACGCCGGCTGATTCGCGTTGTACAGCAGTCAACGAGACATCCTCCAACATTTCAGGCGAAGACGAGCTGGGCTTTCGTTCGTCATGTGACGAACATCGTCAGAGCTGAGGCTCATTCTTGTCATAGCTTCAAGTTAACACTAAGTCAAGAAGACTAACCGGCTTTTTTCTATATGATATATATACTCATTGTAAGCAAAAATTAAGATATAGATAGATATAGAAAGGTTTGGTCATTTATTGGGCAAGTGAAACAATGAAAAATGAATTCCCTACTTCAAAGAGGTGCTATGGCACCCTCGGGCTGTAGCATCCGAAGATGCAGGAAAAGGGAATTTCCCGTAGATTAAGGATAAACAATGAGGGTAGTTTAATTGAATATATGAAGACCAAGATGTTGTGGCCTCTGTTATGGTGGTAGTCTCCTTTCGATTTATAGAAGTGGGTTGACCTCGTTGTCGCAACTCGGTCTTGTGGTCAGGGAGCCTTGAGAAATAGCGCCCGGAGTGAAATGCATACAAGCACTGGAACCGAGTGAAATCGGTCAATCAGGAAGATAAGGAATGGATCTACGAAACAATGAAGGGATCCGGATTGGAGACCCGAGTCCGATGAGCCGATCAAAAGAGAGGTGTAGGGGTAAATAGCAAGTGTGATGAGGCCACACTCGGTTTGCCACAAAAGAGCACACATTTTGACGAGTGGAATGTAAACAAGTGAGAAGTTGTGCTATGGCGGCAGTGGGATAAGAGGGTAAAGAGTAGATAGATAGACATTGACAGAAATATGAGTGATAGTGTAACCGTTTTCGGCAAAACGCTTGTCGAGGGATTGACTTGTCTTTTTGATGAGTTCGTAGTTTGT